CTCCAATTCTGTTGGCAGGGCACGTCACACTGCTGTGGTCAACCCAAGACAGGGGTTCCTCACTCATAGCAGACCGACAATGAGATGCTTCAAAATGAAGGAAACCTTTGTAAAAACTGAGCAAGAGCACTGAGAGAATTGAGATGCATCCAATTCAAAGTGGTACACTTCTCTAAACTTATTCCTTCTCCCCCACCACACCCTCCCCAACCACTCCCAAACAGAATCGTTTTTGCTCCTAAGCAGAGGTTCCAGTGAATGAGCCATTCTCCTTAGTAACAAGGAGCTGCAACTTTTCAATATTCTGCCCTTAGCGGAAGCATGGGATCTGAGAATTACCAGTCTTCAGAACTGTTTACTGAACACATGACCAAACATGCTCTAAATCTAGAAACACAATATACTTCAACCTACAATGAAAATAAGCTGTAAATGGGTCAACCAACCTTCCAGAGATCAAAAGAAGGACAATAGGTTCAATGGTTCACTGAACAAAATTTTGCTTTCTGTGGAAAGTAAACTGATCTTGTCTTTTGACAAAGACAAATTGTATTCTAAGAATGGGTATGTGTGGTCCAATCATATACAAGAGCTCATAAAAGTCTCCTGAAAGTTTGAAAGCTCAGCTTTGTACCTCAATGCACTTCAAGTAACCATTTCCATGTGGATAAAATAATGTATTTATATATTTTGATATACAATTAATAATGCTTCGAACCACTGTAAAAAGGAATATATAGTGCAAGAATGGTGTGCAGCAGGATTGACAAAACACAGTGAAAACTCACATCTGGACAGATACAAATACATTAATAAAATCCTCACCATTAAACCAAAGGGAAAAATGAACCAGTTCCAACTTTAAGAAACAAAAAACAAATGTCCACTCATCAATGCAATAAAAACAGGCACTCAAACATTTGCAGTAAGCCATTCTTAATCCACTACGTATTCTTTGAAGTAAACATTTCCATTTAATGCATTCTTTGGTACCATTTTTCCTGTCCCACTTCCAATGTTGGAATTGCCTCAGATGAGATTTTTCAAAACATTAAATTTAGGGAGAATTTCATCTCAGCATTTTGCCATTAGCTGTAGCGTATCCAGGACCAAACTGGAGCCTGCCACAGGGCTGCAACGCTGCTATATTTAGCTCCTGACGGCAGGACAGTGTCACCAAGATGCCAATGGTTGGTAAACGAGTACTTGCAAGATATTACTTCTCCTCTGGGACCAGATGCCGAATATTTCCTGGGCAATTCCAGCAGAGTCAGCTGTATCGGGATTTCCACATGGTCCCTACATTGAACTCCAGTCTACCCTGCAGAAAATCTCCCATGTCAGAATTTCACAGACTAAATGAACACACATGGCATAAAGTGAGTAAACATCTCAGCCATAATTTACGCAATGGTAGAACACAATGCAAAAAGCTAAATTCACTACTTTTCCTGTGCGCTTTCATCTAACTTGAAGGATGGAGGGGAATCCAATTCCTAAATAGTCCACAGCATTTAGATCTCCAAACACTGCCATATTATTATACCAGCACACCAATGTATTTTAATCTATTAATAATCGCCATGCTGCTTAAATACGTTAAACCTACAGTTTTCCCCAAGAAAGAATTTTCTTCTGCCAGGATAAAAACAACATGCATTCAGCTTACTCCTTTTAATAGATAATCAACAATTACCCACCGCAAATGTTCCATCTCTTTACAATAGGACGCCAATGGAAACTATTCATGGGAAATTTGCGCTCAAAGTACTCTGACGAGGAAACAGACTGCTTCCCTGAATGACTTTGGGTTATAACATGTTGCAAAATAGGGATAGAATGGGAGAAACTGAACTTTGACTATTCTGCTGACACTCTGTGCTTTGTAAACTGAATTGCAAGGTTAATGTCACCACTGGAACGTACGTATAGAATTTTCACATTACCAAACTTAATTACCTCCAACAGTGTAACATCTATCTAAAATTTGAATATCACTGCTACATCCTATGACATCTTGCATTCAAGAGGGCAGAGTAGCAGGGCTGCACGCAGACTCTTGCAAGGGTCTCATCTGCTCCCACATGCTTTCATTTTTTGCTTCTGCTCTTTTGGTTTCTTTTTTTTTTCCTTTTCTCTGGAGCCTTTTGTGTGTGTGTGGGGAGGGGGGGGTGGTTGGTTTAGTTGACGAAATTGGTCTGGCAGCGAGAGCAGGCAATTGGGAGCAATGGTGGACATGACTCCTCCTGGAGGCAGTAGCAGCAGAAACGTCCTCCCAGCACTCAGGGCTGGCAGCGGCAGCAAAGCTCCTCCAGTGAGTGATCGGAGGCAGCGGCAGCAACAAGGCAACATCTGAAGAGAGGAGTCAGAATGGGACTCTCGGTGAGACAGTGGCAGCGGCCTGGCTGGCAGCAGAGCCAGGGACTCCTGGTTGCAATAGGCCCACAGCAGGGAGGCAGCGGCTGCAGTGAAGGGTAGCATGGTATGTCTGGAGCCATCGATGCGGCAGCAGAGCTGGGAACTCCTGTCTGCAGGGCAGGTGCGGGTTCAAGCGGAACCTGGCATCAGTGTTGGCAAAGTGGGCCCCGCTGCAAAGAGATGGCACCTAGAGAGTGACGACTCCCAAGTTGGTAGGTCCAGCGCAGGTGTTGGGGCGAGGTTGTCGAGGTGGGATGGTAGAGCAGGTGTTGCTGGTGAGCCAGCTCAGGTCCCAAGACTTTTTTTCAGTCATATCTTTTACCTATTTTATCCTTAAACTATTCAAAATGGCAGCAGATTATGGCAACTGTTGAAGATTTTCACTGTATTTTGCTGTATTATTCACTGTAAAATACACGTGACAATAAATAAATGAAATAAAATATAAATAAAAATAAACCATTTCTAGGCAGGCTCCAAGAAAGCTTGTTCTGTGGATCTCCAGCTCAATTTTAAGCCTTCAATTGCAATCTATGTTCTTGATTCGCTAAATTTGCTTTTATGTTGCTCGAAAGGCTCGTAAAACTTATCCAACATATCCTTCCTCTAATTTCTTCCACCAACTCCATTCCCACCCACTGTGAAGACTGATCACACTTTCCCCTGTTCTAAATTTGTTTTTCCCAAGAGCAACCAAATTGTACTTTTCCTCCTATCATTGTTAGACATTGAATTCAATCTTAAAGCTGTACGGACTTTCACAATGTTACTTTTTATTCTTTTCAAGCCTTAACCCAAACCAGACACGTGACACTGAAAAGCTGAACTAATGACAACCTAAGATGCCGCATTTTACAAAGGTAGAAAAAATACTCCAAAGACCTTTACTCGTTACACTGCAAGTAAGAAGCAGCAATTTGTAAATCTTGACAGGGTGGGAAAAGCAAGAAGTGTGGAATAAATTGTAAAAATGCTATATAATCACAGAAATCCTACAGTGTGGAAGCAGGCCATTTAACCCATCAAGTCCACACTGACCCTCTGAAGAGCAACCAACCCAGACCCACCCCTCTACCCTATCCCTGTAACCCTCATTTCCCATGGCTAATCCACCGAGCCTGCACATCCTTGGACGCTATGGGCAATTTAACGTGGCCAATCCATCAAACTTGCACAATCTTGGAGTGTGGGAGGGAACTGGAGCACCCGTAGGAAACCCACGTAGACACAGGAAGAATATGTAAACACCACAGAGACAGGCAGGCAATCACCTGGAGGGTAGAATTGAACCCGGGTCTCTGGCACTGTCGCGCAGCAGGGCTAACCACTGAGCCACCGCTCCGCCGATATAATCATATGGAACAATTCAGGATCTTCCTGGTCCTTGCCATCCCCGAAAAAACCCGAAGAACAGCAGATACTGGACATCAGAAACTGCTGGTCAATCTCACCAGGACTGGCAGCCATTTAGAGTGGAGAGATAGCAAAATGAACATTTCGGGTCCAGTGCCCCTTTTTCAGAACTGGGACCTAAGCAACCCACTGGCCCCATTAAGAATAGCCTATAATCCAAGCTAGAATAGGCTAAGTGGCAGAGCTAATACACAGAAGGAAGGATCGAAAAACAAATAAATACAAGTATGAAAATGGAGAGCGGATAAGCATGACTGGAGTTATAAATTATGCAAGTTCACCACAGTGCAATAGATACAAATGGGCACTAAAACCACTTTATATTCAAAAGCAGTGCATTCAAGAATATTAACTGGTGGAACATTCTTCCTCGTGAAATGGGATTAAACATAGCTGTCTCTCTACACTTTATGCATTTGCATTATCAATTCTATTTTGACAATACACCTACTGGTGCTTCAACTCCACAGCCAGCAGCATTATACACCATGTGAAAATGTGTTCATTTTAATTGTACATAACCTTCAGTCAGAGTGCAACAACACAAGCACAGTGGGAATACTACATTTCAACAAAAATTTGCAATTTCAGAGTCATGATAAAACACTTCATATTAAAAAGGGTGGTCAGAATGTTATGGTCTTTTAGCCTTAACAAAGATGAACAACAAAATCAGGTCTTGTGAAAACCCTTCAAGTGAATTTGTTTTTTTTTCAGAAAAGAGATGTATTTATCTTCCAGCTGTATATATTGAGTTTAACAGATAAAGAAGTGGAAGTACCTGTCATCAAATCAATGGAGGAATCTGCATTTGAAATCAATAATCCTGTAAAAAAAACAATGAACATGTTTAAAAAAAACTCTAAATATGTAGTTCTTTGATACGAAACCAAATTTTACATCAGACAAATGAAAACAGAAGTTAATTTATGACAGGTGTTCACTGGCTAGAAGTGTTGAGAATAAGCATCTGTACATTTGCTGTAAAAACACCAACCATGGTGCTGAGATAGGAACACAATTCCAACAGTCTCCCACAGGAAACCGGGATGAATCCAAATGCTTGAATAATTAACTTTGGTATTCTTCCCCAATTCAACAGTCATCATTCCTTGGCTCACCCCCTGCCCACCCCAATTCCTAGAGCGATAATTCTTTGTACAATTTAGGAAATGCAGGAAACTTTGAGAACTGTGTGCATTAAGACAAAAGGAACAAACAAAGCACAGGGCAATCAATTGCAACTGTAGTTAAATGGGTGAACAAATGTATAAGTTTGTTTGAAGTTGTTCTAATATAAATTGCAACAGCAATATCTTTGAAGAGACAAAAATCATTCCTTCATACACAGAATGATGTCTATTAAAGACACAGCATATGATGAGGGCCAGCTGTAGTTCATGTGATTGAGAGTCATGGACAAGAGCCCTATCACCTGTAAGCTCCCCTCCAGGCTACACACCACCCTGGACGTGGAAAATATCACCATCCCTTTTGTGTTGCTGAGTCAAAATCCTGGAATTTCCTCTCTCGCAGCATTGCGTATGTATGTACGCCAAACAGACTGCCCAATACAAGATGGTCGCTCACCAATTTCTCAAGGGTAACTAAGAATTGCTAAGAAATCCAACAAAGCCCATTGCTCATGAATGAACAAAAAAAAGTTTCACGCTCAAGTCCTCTTTTAGCACTTAAAGATTAAAATGAAGGCTAATATGTAATTGCAGCATTCAGGGAGCATGCTATGCTCTTGAATGTGTAAATTTTTGAACGATACGTTAAATCATGGTCAAGTTTGGAGATTCCACACCACTATTTCGAAGAAATGCCAAGTAAGTTATTACCAATGATAAGTACATATCTCTCAATCGACATCAGAGAAAAAAAAACGATTGTCTGATCATTGTCACATGGTTGTTTGTTAGGATTTGTGTGCCCAGATTACAACAGTAACTGTTGTATATTGGTTAGTCTTGCTCAGTAATGATTACCGAGTCATTGGTATGTTCAAACAACAATTAGTTCACTTCATGTTGCTGAATATCTGCACGTCTCCGTAAGTGGATCTGGTATTCCTGAAGTCTTGAACATTCTCTCATCTCAGTCATGTGTACCAAGCTCGGCATTACAGGAGCTGCTATTTACACAACCCCACATTAATCTTTGTCAACTTAATCCCACAGAAACTACACTGCAGATGGAAAACCAAAAGAACTGCGGATGCTGTAAATCAGGAACAAAAACTGAAGTCGCTGCAAAAGCTCAGCAGGTCTGGCAGCATCTGCGAAGGGAGAAAAAAAAATCAGAGTTAACATTTCAGGGTCCTTCAGTTCTAACTATGGGTCGCCAGACCCAAACTGTTAACTCTGATATTCTTTTTCTTCACAGATGTGCCAGACCTGCTGAGCTTTTCCAGCAACTTCTGTTTTTGTTACACTGCCAAAGGACTTCCTCGACTTTAAACTGTTTTATGACACCTGATGACTATGAAACGCTTTGCAAATACAAGTCTTTTTTTCTAAGGAAAACGTGTCAGAATTGTTCTGCAATGACAAATCATCCTCAACAAGGTAGGTACAAGTCACAGACAGCCAGCATTTCCTCCCTCATTAATTTGAGCATCATATGCAAAAGAAAGTTTTAAAATATTCTCTCTTTTAAAGGAAAAACTTATTTTTAAAGTGTACTTTTGCTAACTAGCATCTTTAAGCTGCTTCTCGGTAGTCTGTTTTAGTCTTTAAAATTCCTGGCAGGAGCAGACATCTTGCGTGGAGTGGCTCCTGTTGTGATACTATAATACTGCACCACTGACCTCACAAAGAGGGAATACAGCCCACAACCAAACATCCATGTTCCTGTTATCCCAGCAGCAAGCACCACAAAGCAAACCAGCTGCTCCCACACTACTTCTAACAAGCAGTTTCAAAGTACATATGATGATAGAGCTGGCAGAAAAACAGGCATCTGCAAAAATAGTCCTTTTTTTTTTAATGATTATGGAGGTATTTCAGCAGAATATCACTCCCCACCAACTTAAACATAGAGGTGCTCCACATGTCCTGATTCTCCCAGGCAGTTGGAAGGTGACAAAGTTCAACTGACAGCTGAGAAAATAACTTGTTAAAATGTAAAGGCTGCAAAAAACTCCACCCAAGTCCAAAGGAAGCTAAGAGAAGCAAGGTTCTTGCTATCCTTTGAAAACAAAGTTTCAGCCAGCACTGCAGACATGCAGTTTAATGAGGTCTGTATTACAACTGAATCTCTCTTTCGATGCATTATGCATTCGAACCCAAGCAGTTCTGAAAGAAAGATCAAACAGAATAGTATACAGACCTACGAACTATGAGAGAGAAAAAAAAATCAAGCATGCTAAGTGCTGACAAATCAAAAGGAAATGCTCTCAGTCAAAGACACTAAGAGGCTTAACATCTTCAGTATACACAGCCAAAGTATTCTGCCTCTCGAGGTGCCTCCAAACACCAGGTCCAAACTTCCCAAATTCCTCTCATTTGCAATCTACCTTCAGTTGTCAAGTAAACTCCCTTTTGAATCCAGACACCGAGAATATTCCTCAGTCAAGGCAGAGCTTTCAGACTTCAGCAGAAAAATTAAAATTGGTCTCAGGGTCCCTTCAGAAGAGAGGGGAACAGTCAATTTGGATTCCTACTCACGAGACCTACCAGCAAGTTCACTTCTGAATATGAGTCAATAGGCTCGTCTATGAAGAATAACCAATTCAGCAAGGTGTTAGACAGTAGACAATACAAAAACAAATTGCTGGCAAAACTCAGCAGGTCTGACAGCATCAATGGGAAGGCAGCAGCGCAGACATTGTTAATGGTGATAAAGGTGGTTCAGGACTGATGAACCCTCGAAGTTATATCTGAAGTTTCCTGCACCCCCCACTTATTCTTAAGTTGTTCAAAATGGCGCCAAATTGTCGTGACAATGAAAGCTTTTCACTGTATTCTACCGTACTCTTGCCGCAAAATACACAGGACAATAAAATCATTCATCCATTCAAGCAAGCAGGTGCTGTCAGATCCGCTCATTTGCACCAGCAATTTCTCTTTTACCTTCAGATCACCAGTATCTGTTTTCTTTTATTTTTATTTTGTCAATGTACTTTGTAATCTTATTAACCCTAAATTTATTTGTTGTGATCGGTGATTTTGATTGTACTTTTGTGCGTTTGAAATTCGCTCGATCTTGCTTCCTCTGACTGATATTGCAACATTGATTTCTGCTCAGCCGAGATAGTCCAATATATTAACTATGGGAAACAGCATATGCCACAAAGCAACATGGACAGCATCTACAAATAATATTTTTCATGATGCAATCATGCATCAATAATACTGCCACATATAGCAGATTGGGAATAGTTATATTTCACCATTTTTCAATTGAAAAGTTTGTCTATTTTGTGGACTTTAAAAGGAGACGTTACCAGCAACATTCCTAACACTGATCCGAAGTTAATAAGACTTTTTTTGTTCTTTTTTGATGTTTATCAAAATGGTTGTTCTTCCTCAGTACAAATAGGACACAAAATGAGCACACAACTGCCATGCTTATTTCACAAGAAAGGATGTTCTCAGTTAAGTTTGGCACAGTGACGCATTGTTCAAACTTAGGGTATCCAGCGCCATTTTCCCTTCAAATACAATAACTTGACATAACAATATCAGAGGGATAGCAAAAAGTCCCAATTTTCCACCAGTCTGAATAACAACACATCGTTTGATCTACTTATGACCAGAGTTGGTGCTACCTTCACTCTTCATTGTGCGACACTTTTGAATCTGCAAGATTCGTCATGACAAACAAGCTGTAATCATTTCTCACCCTAATGGGGATTATCATCATACAACCCCTTCACTCAATCAGAATTGTTACAGTACAGGAGGAAGCCATTTGGCCCATCATGTCTGCATCAACTCTTGGGAAAAAATGTTGAAATGAAAAAAACGAACTACAGATGCTAAAGATCTAAAACCAAAACAGCAATTGCTGGACAAACTCAGCAGGTCTGGCAGCATCTGTGGAGAGAAAACAGAGTTAAAGCATTCGCAGGAAGGGTCACAGTTTAATTCGCTTACCAAAAATAAAAGCTTTGATTTGAACCTGACTTCATATTTCTCCACCAGTCAATTCCAAACCCTAACCACTTACTGCTTGAAAAGTTCTCTCATATCACTTATCCTTCTTTTACCAATGAATTTACATCCATGCCCTCCTTTTCTCAATCCTTTCACAAGTGCCCAGATCCTTCATTAATTTGGAAGAGAAAGCCGAGAGGAGATCTGACAGAGGTATCCAAGGAATAGCATCCCAACTTCTCCAATGTATCTTCATTCCTAAAGTTCGTAAACCCTGGAACCCTTCTCGTGAATCTTTTCCAAAACTTGTCCAAGGTACTCACATACTTCCTGAAGTTTAGATTTGAACAAATGTTCTCGCCGAGGTCAAACTGGTGCCTCATACAAGTTCAACATCACCTCTTTGATCTTATTTTTTATGCCCTAATTATGAAGCCTAGAATACCGTGTGCTAATTAAACAGTCTCTCAGCCTGTCCGGTCATCTTCAATATCTAACGCATGCATAGACCCAAGGTAAATTTGCTCCTGCACGCTTTAGAATTGTACCTATTTTATACACTGTCCACGTTCTGACTACCACCATCCACTTCACATGCTCTGGGCAGTGCAATATCCTGCTCGGAGTGGCCGAAGTTCCAATGACAAATTCGCACAGTAGTAATTCATACAGGTCCTGAACAGAGCAAAGAATCACTTCCCATCGTTTTTTGGAGCTCACAACT